CCGATAGCCGCCCAGCATAGTGACGACGCAGGAAAACGTGGCGTCCCTCCCGACTGGCACCGAGACGTTGTTGAGCGGAGCGGCGAAGTCGGGCTGGCCCTTCCCCCAGCCTGCTGTGGGGGAGAGAGGGGGAGGGGGAGAGGGAGGGGGAGGGAGAGAGAAAGAGGGAAAGGGGAGGGGGAGAAGGAGGGGGGGAGGGGGAAGAGGGAGGCGGGAGGGGAGGGGGGGGGGAGAGGGTAAGAGGGAAGGGGGAGAGAAAGAGGGGGGTGGGAGGGGAGAGAGATGGAAAGGGGAATGGGGAGGGAGAAAGAGGAAAAGGGGGAGGGAGAAGAGAAGGGGTGGAAGGGGAGAGAGAAAGAGGGAAAGCGGGAGGGGGAGAGAGATGGACAGGGAGAAGGGGAGAGAGGGAAAGGGGGAGGGGAAAGTGAGAGGAAGGAGGGGGCGAGAGACGGGGGAGGGTTGGAGGGAAGGAGGAAAGGGAGAGGATGAGAGAAACAGAAAGAGAAAGGGGGAAGGGAGAGTGAGAGAGAGATAAGAGAAAGAGAGACAGGCAGAGTTTGAACGACCAGAAAGATCAAGAATAAGATGAAGAGAGACAGAGAGATACAGGAAAGGACGGAGGGATTGGGATACAAAGGGGGGGGAGGAGACATAGATTAGTGGTTGTCAGGTTAATAGATATTTTACTATTGCTATTTTTATTTCCTTTTCCTACCACTACCATCCATGATGTTACAACAGCTATTTATTGATGATGATTTTATTGTTATCATTATTATTACTATCCCTATTTTCATTATCGATATCATTATCAAAATCAACATTATCTTTATTCTTATAATCATGATCATCACTATCAGCATCTTTATTACTATTACAGTTATAAGCACTGTTAACATTATCAAATTTCTCGTTACTATTATCATCAATATTCCATAATCATTGTTATAATCATTATCATTATTATCATCATTATTATCACTGTTACTATTTCATGATTTTTGTTATCATTACTATCATGTTATCATTGACATTATTATTATAACTATTGCTATCACTATCATTATTTAATTATCATAATTACTATCATTACTGTTGATAATAAATTCCTCATCGTTAGCATACATCACAATGACTTTTTTGCTGCGTTTTTTTTTATCATTATTATTATTATCATCACTACACCGTTATCCATTTGGGGAATTCTTGAATATGGTTTACTCTTGACTTCGTCTTCCTATTTATATGAATACTTAAAAAGATAAATGAATAAATGTAAGGTAAAATATTTATCTATCTATCTGTATATAGATAGATAGATAGATATACATACATATACATATACACACACACACACACACACACACACACACACACACACACACACACACACACACACACACACATATATATATATATATATATATATATATATATATATATATATATATATATATATATATATATGTATGTATGTATGTATGTATTATAGAACATCTTAGTCATCATCATTACACTACATTAGATAATCATTATTATATTATATCATTATATAGGATTATTACATTATCACAATATCATATTATATCCTCATTATCATATTAAACGTTACATAATTCGTTAAATTTTCCTCCTTTAAGAGTTAGATATCGATTTACATTATAAGTCAGAATTTAGTCGAATTCCATTTATTCGAATTGTCATTTATGTTTATGTCTGTCTTATCTTATCTTCAGGTGTATAGATTATTTTTTTTCTTATTTTTTTTTTCCTCTTTTGATGTTTTTGTTTGTTTGTTTGTTTGTTTGTTTATATGATCTTATTACTTTCCTTTTCATCTCTTATATCTCTCCTTTCTTATTTCTCTTCCTCTTTTTTATCATTTCACTTCCACTTTGTCTCTCTTTCCTCTTTCTTTCTTTCTTCCACTTCTTTATCCTCTTTTTTCTCTTCCCTCTTCATTCTCCTGTAATTTTTACTTTTTTCTCTCCTTTCTCCTTTCCGTTCTTTTTCTTTCTTCTCCTTTCTCCTTCACTTTCTCCTTCTTCTTCCCTTTCTTCATCCTCTATCTACTCCTCTTCTCTTTCCCTTTTTATATAATTTTTCTCTTTTTCCTCTTTCTTCTCCTCATTTTTCTTTCTTTTTTTTTCTTTATTTTCTTTCTACTCCATTTTATTCCCCTCTGCCTCTTTCTATTAACCTTTTATCTCCTTCCCTCCTCTTTTTCTTTCTCCTTCTCCTCTTTCTTCTGTCTCTTCCCATTTTATTCTCCTCTGCCTCTTTCTCTTTTTATTCTTCTCCTCCTCTTTCTCTTTCTCTTTCTCTCCCCTCTTTCTTCTTCTCCTCCTCTTTCTCTTTCTCCTCCCTCTTCTCCTATATTTACTCCATTATGTTCTCCTCTGCCTCTTTCTCTTTCGCTTCTTTCTTCTTCCCTCCTCCTCCTCCTCCTCCTCCTCCTCCTCCTCCTCCTCCTCCGCCTCCTCCCTCCTCCTCCTCCTCC